CCCATGCTCTGGCATGGTGCCCAGGAACCCCAGCGCATTCTCCGGAGCCGAGTTCAGCCGGGCAGCCGTGCCGGGGTGCGGGGGGAGGGGCAAAGCCGCCGGCCCCCACCCAGGAGCCAAGCGAGCCCTCGCCCCTCGCCGATGCCCTCCAGTACCCTGCACAGCCCCTCCATCGGGCGCCTCGTGGGGGTATCGCAACCGAGCCGGGGTGCTGCAACGTGTCGGTCCCCATCCCATCTGTTGCCAGCATGCGGGGCTGGGGGATGGGATTGGGCTGGCTGTGGCCCCAGCCTGGGCACAAGGGATCTGAGCTCTTTTAACAGCAGAATTAGAGTCTTATTTAAAGAGCATGCTAATCAGAACGAGCAAACGGCCTGCTCCCTCCCCGCAGCCTGCACTTAGGTCTAGACACAGGCCAAACCCCCCACCTGCCACCCCCCCACCCGGGGGTCTCAGCAGCCAGCCCCCCCTGCACCAGGGCCAGACTCACATATCGCCCTACTCAGCGCACGTCCCCTTGCCCCAGCTCAGTGCAGGCAAGGCACAGTCACGCAGGGACATCATCTTGCACCCCTCACCCCTGGGGAGCCCAGTGGGAAAAAACAGGAGGGCAGGTAAGGGAGCTAGCAACACCACTGGTAATCCCAGAGCCGCCCGCAATGGCTGCGTCTGAGCTCATGGGAATCCCAGTAGCGCAACAGGTCTTTTACTAGGCAGGACTGGAAAACCTGCTCATCACAGAAAAAGCAGAATCGGTTAAGATAGACTTCCTCCAGGGAAGCAAAAGGAGCAGGGCCCATAGCACCTGCTCCCGACAAACACTCGAGCATCAGTAGCCCTCACCTCCAGTACTCTCAGGAGCGGCACTGTGGGCACAGCAGGAGCCAGGTCAGTGCTGGCGTCGCACTGTGGTGGCAGGGCATCGCCAGGCCTCACTGGCAAGCCCGGAGCACACCCCGTGACAGCGCAGGAGAGGTGCCAGTGGATCCTGGGCTAGTCAGCACAATGCATTTCCAGTGCCGGGGCTCCCGAGTGGTGACAGCGGGGCCAGGGCTGCTCCCGGCCTCGTCGTGGCTGGCTGACCTCAGCAAATTCACTTCCTCCCCAGCTGCCTTAGTTTCCTCATTCGTGCTGTCACACTGCCCCACCCTCCTTTGTAAAACAAGGCAAGGTCCATTGATGAAGAGCAGCAGATAAGAGGGAGGGAGTTGTGTCATTAGT